GTGACTTGCACCATAGTTCTTCCGTTTCCGAGCGAGTCCCTGTTGTTCCCGTGATCCTGCAATACAAATGTCCTGTCCTAGCCGCTCGATGCCCAAGTGGGTCGGTTAACTGTTATCCTGCATAACGGGTCGTAACAAACAAGAGGCAATAACGTCCAAGCATGATTCTCCAGTGAGGTCCATGGATGCTGGATGAACCGCTTTCAGCCCCACAAGGAAAGAAAAAGTCCAGATGCAAAATTTGCCGTCTTTTTGCGACCCCCGAACAAGACGTGGATCCATCGTGATCCATCTCTCACCCCACTAATGCTGGTGGGTCGGCCTTTCGGGGGTCGCAAAAAACAGTCAAAATATTTTTCGTAGCACCACCTCATACTCTGGCGTCCTCCGTGGGAGACTTTCCCGTAGCAACGCTTTCCATGGTCATCCCCCTCTCCGGCGCGTGGAAGTTTTCGACATCTGTTGCGGCAGACATGGTACTCATTCTCTTGTCGCTTTCTTTAAACCCAATTGCGGGATTTCCAATAACGAGGCAGAAAACTGCAATAACCATGACCCTTGATTGATGTTAGGCTCCAGCACCAAAGAAAGGTTGGGGTCTATGACAACTTACGATGACTCGAGTCCGATGAAGAGCGGCTCGTTCCGGAAGAGAACACTGAAATATCCTTCCTTCAACTCCTCAATACGGTACGAGCATCGGACCAGAATCAGGATGGTCGCCACGAATAGGAACGCCAAGAACACACACATGTTTTTGGTGATTCTCTCACGCGCACCCGACCTGTAGGCGGCAAAGAGATAATCCGCGAAGAGTATGCAGAACACAACCAGAGTCACAACTTGGAAGATGAGACCTGCCAGAGAGACGTTGACGCCTTTTTGTACCTGGCTCTTATCGTTCGCAATGCTAGACAATGCGCCGCCGGTGGCTTGAAGGATGAGGGAGATAATATCGCAAGGAATGAAGACGTAATAGAAGAGGTGCGGGTTGAAGCGGGATATCGATCGGTCGAGAGCGATGATCCTACCCACATGTTAGCAAAGGATTCATGACGTGGTGCAGCAAGTAGGCTTACACTTTGGAAAGCATCACATAAATGGCGGCGCAGAAGAAGACAGGGGCAACGGTGATGCAAACTATTTCGACGGTTAGAAAAATACGGCGAGCCAGAAACTGCACAAACGACTTACTGATCTGAATGAGAAAGCCGCCGAAAGAGAACGGGTTGTCATGTAGAATAAGTCGACCAACATAACCGACGATTTCCACCAAGCATCCCCCGATCACGCTCGCCGTGAAACCCCATGTCTTTGCCCGAAACCCTATGACACTATGGACGACCATAGCCAGGGCGAAAAGAGCGATGAAGGTGCTGTTGGCGGGTATGGAAGGCTGATACTTCAAAAGACTGGCTTCCAGAGGACAGAGCTCCAGAGTGCAGTTGGCCTTCGGACCGAAAGTCCTGAGTCCATTTGGAAGCTTTGTTGCAGACATGTCGGGCCGGGACTTTCGAAATTGACTCCTGTCGTATGGGGTACACTGTGAAGAGACAAATCTGATCGATGCTAAGAAAGACGTTGAGATCGCGGGTCTCGAGAATTCTTAAATACTGGAGGATATGATAGGTGTTGAAGGAAGGGACGACCGCATGCGTATGTCTTATCGAGACGAAACAGCGGGGTCGGCCGTAAACACAGGAGCAATCCGTTGGAAACTTGCTTGCCTGCCAACTATTTCCGTGGCGGGAGCGGGATCTAATCTAAGACAGCCTTAGCTATCCCCTAACGAACAACAGGTCATGATCTACGAGTGGCTGGATCCCTCTCTTTCGCTTATGTTGACCCTTTTCCACGTTTAGAGACTGCCAAGTGCACTTGGCTCTCATGGCTCTCCCCATTTAAACATGAGGCTGGATTCGAAGAGTGCGGGTTGTGGAGTCCCCTTGTCTACGACCGGCCGTAAACTATACCACATTCGGGCGTGGAGGATCTCGCGATGGGCAAGGTAAGCGCCACCCCATGTGTTTTTACGGATATCCTGGCACGTATGATTGAACGGCCAGCCCGATCGACGTCCCGACAGTTTGGGCCCTATTTTAGCTGGCTCGCAAGTAGCGTAGACCGCACTCGTTGGCGCACTCGCACTCGCAACATGACGAATCAGGGAGCGAGACTACTGAAGGCGGATGAACATTTGAGACTAGCCTACGTGGTTCCCGCATCTGAACATGATGCGACGGCGGCATACAAAGACGCTTCTTATCCGCCCGAACCGTAGGCCCGCGCCAAGACACCCGATAAATCGGATAAACAATCTTCGATGCGTCATGCCAACAGCCGAACAGTTCGCGACTTGATTCTCAAAAAATCCTTACGAAGTTCTAGTCTCTCGCTTCGAGATGCGAACTGATGATGGCTGCGTCCGCTGGCTAGATGCGTCTCTAAATTCACTGCCTGACTGCTTGGGAGACAAGGAAAACTGTACATAGACAATCATTGATAGGTGGACGCGCGCGAGGCAAGTATCCTTTGTCTTCGGCCGATTACCGCCGAACGTCGCCGAACCCGAACGTCGCCGAACGTATGGCAATCACGGATCACTGCACCGAATCGCCTCTCCGAGTCTTGTTTGTGACATCAACATCATGCTAGTAGAAACTTTGTTGGTCAAGACGAGCGCTTATTCATTAAGTCTTTCGAATATCTCTGCGACAGGCGCAGCTTCATGGCAATTGCAGCAAAATATTTGCAAGTAGCTTTCAATTCAACTTTTACATATACTGATGCCCGCTACCTTCCTTCAACCCCGAAGAAATACACTTTCCAAGCTCCACCAAATTGCTAGACCAAAAGGTCATTTACGAGGGTCGTCGCCCCTAAGACAGCGCTTTCTCAAAGCATCCAGATGCAGATCTCTAAACCAGGCTAGTTGGCGCCCTCGCGGCGCTTGATCTCAAGAGGAACAGTGACATCAGTCGTGAGGGTAAAGTCATTGAGCCTGTGACCAACAGGTGGGCCTCCCTTGCGATCAACATCACCTACAAGCCTGAAGTCCCAGAAGCGCAGCATCTCGACAAACAAGACCTTGATAGCAGTGCTGCTGAAGAACCGGCCGGGACAGCTATGGGTGCCGAGGCCCCAGGCCAGGTAATCGGATGTCGTTGTGATGTAGTGGAACTTATTCTCGTTACCATCCATCTGGCGCAGCTTGTAGAAGCGGAAGCCGTCAAACTCGCTTGCAGGAGCCTGGTCCGCAACCTCTGCGTAGCTCTGCTGGGTGCTTGGTGAGGTCATGACGTGGTAGACTGGAACACCAATACGAGTGCCGGCAGGGAGGGTGTGACCGGTCGAGAGGGTGACGGGACTCTGCACGATGCGAGCCATGTTGACAAGCTTGTTGGGGCACAAACGCATGCTCTCCTTAAGGAACGAGTCGAGCTTGCGGAGCTTGACATAGGATGTGCGGCCCATGATGCGACGGCCCTTGTCATCCATGGTGAAGCCGTCTTGTTGCAGGACGTCTTCGATCTCCTGGCGCAGGGGAGCAAAATATTCTGGTCGGGTAGCCAAGTCGTACATTGCGCGGGTAACGGTGTAGCTGACGCTGTGAATAGAGACCCATGAGACTAGCACGAAAGTCAGCATTATTCCAGTACAGAGATTCTTAGGTAGACTTACGGGCAAGCTGGTTGAGAGCCAACGATGTAGCAATGTCCTCATGACTGGCACCCTTCGGGATGATGGTATACTTCAACAACCATGAGCAGAAGGTTCCCTGTGCATCATCGAACTCAAGGGCCTCTTCGTCCGACATGTAGTGTTGAAGAGGCTTCTTCTCGTCCATCCAAGTGTTGGGATCTTGCATCGCTGCTCTTTCCTTGACAAGGTTCTCGACGATCGGCATCAGAATCTTCTTGCCGCTCTCAAGGTGAGATTGCATCTGCTTGACTTCGGGCAAGTACTTGCCAATGAAAAGACGAAGCCAGTAGGGGTACTTGTTCAACGCATGGCGGGCGCGCATCAGATCAATGGTGTAGCCGATAGAAGAACGCAGCCATTCGGGCCTGCGGCTGATGGGGCGACCGATGAAGATACGCGATAGCATGAGGGCTGAGATCTTGGTGACGCTCATGTGAAGTCCCTTGGTGGACCACTTGTCGCTGCCGACGTCATTGAGCTCGATGTCCATCGCGAAGCGGAGCTCGTCCAAGATGGCGGGGATGGCACCGTTGGTGTGTCTGGTAAGATCTATGCGGACAGTGGGAAGAAGCTCTGTGCCGTAGGTGCCTCCGCCAACCTTGGTGACGGCCATAGAATGGTCAATCTTGACTTCGGCATGCAAAGAGACCTTTTCCTCGGGCATGTTCTTCACATCATCGACGAGGTTGCCAGGAAGAATGACGATGGGTCTTGATGTCTTTAGGATGAATGGTGTGTCGGGGTACTGTTTCCAGGTCAGAACTCACGTTCTTAGGGAAACGATTCCGATGGATCGAGACTCACCTTTTCATACATACGTGTCAAAGTGTTGAACACGCCCTCTGGGCCAGGATCCGGAATCTCAACAGGCATGTTCAGGTTCGGCTTTCGGAAGAAGGAATAGTATGTGACTGCACCGAGTGCAAGAACAATCGCCAACAGAGTTGTTGGCTGACAGCTCATAACGGAGCTCGCGACGGTGTGTGTGATCGCCATGATGAACGCTGAGGGTATTGAACACTGCGAACGGAGCGAACAGATTTGAGGGCTTTGATAACAGTAGAGATGGGCGATCTGGGCGATCTGGGCGACGATGCGTATTATTTAACAGTGTGTGTATGTTCCTGAACATGTAAGATTGATGATGACTCTTCGTTAGCAACTCTGCTGGCCGAGCACAATCATATATCGGCGAAATTCGTGCTCAACTGCAGACTCTCAAAATAGCGTGTAGTACCTAGTCGCTCTCATTATGCTTCTACCAAACACTGAGCTCCTGTTTCTGAGGCTGTGCAACCCCGAGTCCGCCTGGATGCCGGTGCGCCTACGGCGTTTTGACTGTGCCGGACCAAGCCCGGCTTGGCCCTGCTATGGAGACCCACGACTGGGCCCGGCCGGTCGAAAGCCAGCTTCAGACTCAAGCTCCCACGGTGACTTTGTCGTCTTGTCTTGGCGAGGCGAACCTCAATTACCTTCAATATGGTTGGCTGGCTGCAGAATATTCATCTTACGGGGTTTGCCAAGCTGGGGCTGCCGTTGATTCATGTCATGTTCGTAGCTGTTGGTGCCGCGCCCCGCAGGCAAGGCCTATTCTAGGGTTGTCATGATTCGTTTGTGACAATGCTGTCTGGAGGTGGAAACTTCTAGGATTCCGTGGGACAAAATGCATCGACCGGAGACTTTCCAGAAGTCACTTTCCCGTGGTTGTGAGATTGACTTTTGAAACCTGTACCGATTAGGCGATCGTTTGCAACAGCTGAGTTCCCTGTTCGGCAATGTTCACACAGGACACCCCCGCCATCTTGGGACGGCACTCCCCATACTTCTGAATCAGCCACGAGTCTTGGCAATCCACAACTTCAGTGTCAACTCTGGATACTCACAGAGCAAAAAGCACGCCCACGTGGGGGTAACATGTGGCTAAAGTTGGTGCACGCAGGAACTCTGTGTTCAGCATCAAGTCTGTGTTCTTGCTACCCGACAATAGAGTTCAGTGGTGACGCCGGCCGAGATAACCCAGGCACAGGACAGTTCCGAAAGCCTGGTTCCCAAGTTATGCAATGTAAATCAATCTGGAAGCGCTGAGGGGATTAAGCTTATTCGCTTGCAATCAAGGCGGGTAAAGACTGAACTATCGTGATGAGATGAGCCCGAAGGGCGGAAGCTTCGCGATGAATACGGTCGGGAGTATTTCAAGCAAAGCAAGCGCATTCGAGAACTTACGACAGATCACCAGATGTCAAAACCGTATCCAGAAGTTTAGCAAAATCTTGTATTTACGAGTAGTTCGTATCAATGACAGACCATAAAGTCCCGCTTATTGCCACGCCAAGAACGAGAACGAAATCCAATTTACAACTTGGCATCACTACATCGAGTGTTGCTTGCAAGCATGCAGATACCGCCCCAGAGCCACCATTGGGTAGCCATGTCGCATGCAGCCGAAGTCCAACCATAGAGTGTTTGGAAAGCCCACACTCACATAAGCCTCCTGGTCCCAAGTGACGCCCTTTTCGGAGCCGACTTGAGTCCGAAGCAAATATTGAACTCCTCTCTCGATCGCCGGATCAGTGTGGGGCAAATGAGAAAGAAGAGCCATCACCGCCCAGGCCGTCTGAGTGGGTGTCGAGATGAGTCCTCGGCCAGCTAAGGACTCATCTCTGTACGTGCCTAGGCTCTCACCCCAGCCACCATCAACGTTCTGAACAGCCTTGATCCAAGAGAGGGGCTCTGAGATGAGGATGCCTTGTTCTGGTTGTTCGATCGACTGCAAGTACGGAAGAGCGCAAAGAACACTGCTTGTTCCGTTCAAGTAGTTGACATGCCATCTTGCCCACCATGTTCCTGTGAGTTTGTCTTGTGACTTCGCAATGTACTGGAGGCCTTTTCTGCAAGCCTCACGGACGCGTTGAAGTACAGCAGGAGGCATGATGGATGAGCAGGTTGGTTCCGTGATAATGTAGCCGAGGACCTCAAGAACACGGCCCGTGATATCGGGAACACTGGGATCGAAGAACTCGACACCATCTGCGAACGGAAACAGATTTGCGACTTTGCTGGTGTTGTCGATGTCATAGGCACCCCATCCGCCATCGCCGCCCTGCATGGCCAGGAGCCAGTTCAAAGCTCGAGCTCCACAGGCAGAGCTGATCTCTTTAGGGTTTTTCATGATGATCGCAAAAAGGCACACAAGGGTATCATCGTTGTCGGGAAAGTACTCGTTCTGCATAGTGTTGTTAGCTAATGCTGCCAGTAAGGTACTCAATCAGGGATGTACTTACACAGTATTGAAATGACCAACCACCAGGGAGAGAAGCTCGTGGGTTCGTCACCAGATAGTCGCCGTGTGTTTTGAGAATCTGGTGGTCTTTGAACCACTTGATGGAAAGGTCGGTCCGATCATCGGCCAGCCCCGTCTCAAGTAGTCCCAGAGTCATAAGTGCCGTATCCCACACAGGGCCGATCGTCACTTGCATACGCAGGCCATCGGCGTCCTCCCAAAGCGCGTCTTCCATAGCTCTCGTCAAGTGACCCATGACGGGGTGGCTTGCTGGGAAACCGGCGGCGTGCAGACCAACCACGCAAAGGAAGTTGGAGATAGTGAGAGATCCAAAGCCTCCCGCGTCGAGATGGTTGACGATGTACTGCACGCATTGGTCGAGACAGTAGGTGCGCAACATTGACCTCTTCAAGACTGGCTCAACCACGCTAGCCGCCTTATCGATCAAAGTGCAGGCGAAGCGACCAACTTGACCGTCCTTCCATAAGGTGGAAAGTTGCGGAATTGACTTCAAAGTCCTATCCAAAGGGTTTAGAAACAACTCGTCGAGGAAATTGCCTCCCAAGGTTTCTTCGCTATCGTCGGCTCCGAAGGGATGCAAAGGAAAGATCGGTTGGTGGTGCTTGAGCAGCATCACGGGCACAGCAGACACCCGTGACCAGTAAGAGAAAGAGTAGATGTTGGCTGGTGAAAGACCAGCAGGAAGAGCCATAAGCTCAGCAGGAACCTGAGCCATGTCTTTCCATGCAATGATGCCGAAAAGTGCCAGCACCAATTGTGTCAAGACACCGACCTTTGCAACACCACCATGGCGGAGAACAAAAGCTCTTGCTTTGCGCATGGGCTTGCTGTTGACATTGGTACCGAGAAGCTTCAGCCCAAAGTAGGCCTCAACTGTGGTCGAGACATCTCCATCCCAGTCGTGAACAGACGGTGCTAAGCCCCAAGAGCCATCGTCGGTGTTTTGTTGGGAGAGCAGCCAGCGTCGGAACTTGTCTGCCTCATCTTCGGACAAAGGCATGCCGAGGATTTGTCGAATACATAGCCATTGTACGGTAAAGGAGACGCTGCTGCGGACTTCCAGATACCAGTGGCCATCAGGCTTCATCTGGTCGTACGCATGTTCGGCAGCCTGCTGAATGCATTTTGTCGCAGACTCCGCAAGATCATTATCTTGTTGTGTGAGAAGAATGGTGTTTGTTGCCATGATTGTGTTTGATGATGTTGAAGCTCACAACAATACTACGATCAAGGAGTGAAGCCAGCTTCATATCTCGGACTCATATGTTGCGAACACTTGTTAGCTAAGCGGATACTAGAGGCCCCTGCAGCCATCGAGATGCATTCCCCAAGGGATACCAAGCGCCGCAGGAGACTTCTCGAGTGGACCTGTTCATGGTCTGTTACGTCACGAGTTTTCTCTGGTAGACGGATTTCTAAAACAAGGACATCCCTCAGCGCGTTCAAAGATTGTTTTGGCACATTCTCTCACTGTTAGCTTTGCTGCGTCTCACCCGCCAAGCCGTTCACTGCCAAGAGCTTTGTAGTACGGAGAAATAGAACTGGAGTTCCCCGGCATTCTGCCGTGTGTACATCGAGACCTTTGCTTTGAGTAGTGAACGTGCTCATTGATTTTCTATGTCAGGTTCCCTGGCATGCTATTATTGGGGCATTGGGGTTTGCGCCAAGACGTCAGATGAAGGTATCGTGGTGGAGGCGATCCATCGCACACTCCCCTGCGGCGATCGACTATGCGGGGTTACAATTCCCGCAGGAGAGAACTACTACACAGGCCGTGTTTTACAGTTCTACAGCTCCAAAGTCGATCTTTCCCCGGTAGGAAACACGAGTCAAGGTCTAGAAACCCAATCTGGAAATAAGCTGAACCTGATAATTGAATAATCCCGCTTTATTCAGACGGAGACTATTGAGTCAGAGCACGCACGCCCTGCATTGCTGTCAGTCCCATCTGTTGGTCGGCTTAACGCCAAGAAACCACCGGGCTGTACCTTCCTACGGGTCAAAGGCGTGTCGTCAATTTTTGGAAAGCTATGGATATCCTGTTGATGTGGTCCCGCGTGGCCGGTCACACCTTCTCTGACGCCTTGGCCAGAAAGCTACCGTGTTGTTGGGCAGTAACAGTGGAATTAGACAGGCATCAATCCAGAAGCTTGGGGGTTGTAATCACGATATGTCACCGCAGATGCGAATCGCCAGTCTTCATACCAGAACATAAAGATTGTGCAGATGTCATGCATGAACACCGTTGACATATCATGAAAACCGGCAACGTAAGATAGCCTATGGTCCATGAGCCAAATACTTTCTGGCATATCTTTTGTTTCCCTATGGATCACCACATTATCTGGTACTCATGCTTTGCCTAGTCTCAGACCTGAAGAAGTGTTTTGTCAGCGACTCTTTGGGGGATTGCTCAGTTATAACTTTTCTTCCTCGTTTTTTCAAACTCATCTTACTCTTGTCAATTTTGGCTCATTCGATACATCTCAGAGCTAGAAGCCTTTTTGTGGCTTGCCAGCGTTGGTCAGCTGCAGTCTATCAACCTCGTCGACAAACGACTTTCACAGTCACCATCACTACAGACACCTACACAAACACAACCATCATTGATACCACAACAAACACAATGCATCTCACCACGATACACATGGCGTTAGTCGCCACAGTTTTGGCAGGCATCGTCTACTTCGCCTTCTCGTTATTCAAAGCGCGCAGCTTCTTTCGTCGTCTTCAGAAGGACGGCATCCCCATGCCTCCTCATCATCCCATATTGGGACACCTTGGTCTGTTGTTGAGCATCATGATATCTCTCCCGCGCGATGTCATGCCTACTGTGGTTCTCGCAGATCAAGTTCGCAGACGGTATCCACACCTGGACAAAGCTTTCTATCTTGACATGTGGCCATTCACTGGACCGATGTTGATGATCATCTCACCAGATCTCATGCGCCAAGCGACTCAAGGCGAAAACTCATTGCCCAAGGTAGCCTTTCTGAAGAACTACATCAAGCCGCTAAGCGGTGGACATGACCTCGTCAGTATGGAAGGCGATGAGTGGAAGCGCTGGAGAGATGTGTTTCGCCCAGCTTTCAGTCGCGCAACCGAGCTTGTGCCCAATATCGTGGAAACAATCTGCGTCTTCCGGGATCAGCTTGTTGGCAGAGCTAAAGGGAACAGTGGTTTGTTTCAGCTGCATCACTCTGCGCTGAACCTGGCTATGGACATGTCCGGCAAAGCTCTATGGAACCACGATATGAACACCCAGAGGTCCTACAACGACATGGCTGACGCCATTGTTTCACAGCTTAGGTGGTTACTTGTGGAAGGCTTCATGCCATTTGCAAGTCTCAACTTCATCAGGCCTTTGGTACACAAGTATAACGGCTTTCGAATGGAGAGATACATCGCCGGCGTGCAGCACAGACAGAAGACCAATAAGGACGACGACGACTGCGTGATTAGCCGGGCCATCTCCAAAGTCCGCGCTCGACACACGGACAAAAAGCTCTCTGCAGACCCATTTCGCGAACTCGGAGGCGAGGCTCATTTCAACAAAGTCATTAAGAGCCAAATGAGGTTTCTTCTTCTAGCAGGCTACGACACCACGGGTTCAACCATCACATACGTCCTGCATATCCTATCCCAACACCCCGAGGTCCTGTCCCGAGTACGACAAGAGCATGACGAGGTGTTAGGCTCGAATGTGTCCCGCGCCGCCCAGCAGCTCAAAGAAAACCCGCACCTCGTCAACCGTGTTCCGTATACTACAGCGGTTATCAAGGAGACCTTGCGCATGTACCCACCAACGTCAACCCTTCGGAACGGAAAGCCGGGGTTTGACCTCTATGATCGAGAAATTCCGGGCTCTACTGTTAGATACCCCACAGAAGGGTGCATTGTTTTTGGCAATCACCACGGCCTGCATCACAACCCTAGATACTGGAAAGAGCCCGATACGTTTCTTCCTGAGCGTTTTCTCACAGCCCCGGGTGACCCTTCGGGCTTACATCCACTCCAGGATGCGTGGCGTCCGGTAAGTCAGCTGAAACTGTCTCGTTATTTCACAGAACCAAAGTAACATTCACATGTTCTAGTTTGAGAAAGGACCTCGGGCATGCATGGGCTCGGAGCTTGCAATGGTCGAGATCAAGGCTGTCATCATGCTTGTTGCTCGGGAATTTGATTTCACGCCTGCTTATCAGGAATGGGAGGCGTCACAGTCCAAGCAGGCAGTGGGAGAGAATAAGATTGGGTTGGGAGTCTTGCTTCCAGGCAGTGCGCCAAAGCATGTCAACGGCGATCGCGTGTATCAGACTACTGGAGGTGGAGGAAGTCATCCGGCGGATGGCTACCCGTGTCGGGTGAGGTTTGCGCCAGGAGTTTAGCTGATTGAACTATCAATGAAATACTACGTGTTTTGAATGCATGAAATTGGTGCAAAATTGCGATCAGCTCGTATTCATCTTATCGTGGTGGCAAAGGTGGTTGATGTTGTGACTATACTTGTGTCGCTCCACACCTAGAACTAGCAGTCGTTAGGTCCGGGCCAAAGTCAGTCCCTGTGGTTCAGAGCTGTTGGAAGAGTTCTACCACAGATAACTAAAGTCTACAATGTTATTTACAAGTGGGCAGTCGGCGGAAATTTGCCAAATTGGTACACCCCGTACCGAAACCGTACAGCCGAGACCGATGCAGACAACCGTTATCCAAACTTTAACCTCAGCCATGATGTCAATGAGAGATTAAGTCGCTTAGAAATTCATGGAGTAGAACAGCGTTAAAACCTACAAACCACTGCATGTCATCCCGCCAACTTCTCGAGCACATAGTCTTTTGCATTTCGTCTGAAGTGATTTGCCGGAAAGCAAAAGTCATGAACCGCCAAGGCCTACGCTCATAGCCCCAAAGCTACGGACTTGGAATTCTGACAGCTGGAACTTGAGACGGCTCGAGGCGTTGCGAGTCGGCATGGCTCTGAGGCGCCAAGACGAAAACGAGGGGTCTAATTCTGGTGCCGGGAACTTTCAATTGATGCGTCACGTAGTCATCTTTTGCCGAAATATCTGCCTTGGCATGTGTACGCAGTATGTTTTCGCCCAGCCTTGGCCCTGAGGAACCAGAAGGCCTTTTGCAACAGACACAGCGTATCGTTGCTACGCCCGCCCCAAAGAACGGCATGAGACAAAGGCACCGGCATGGAGGTGGGGTCTTATCCGCACACCCCGCAGCCCGCACCGGCGCTGGGGGTCCGTCGGCGATCCTGGTTCCCAGGGGCCCCTGTGTTGGAACTCATCGTTATATCGGGGACCGCACATAACGAGAACGAGAACTACCTCATCTCGAAGACTGATTGCAATGATAATGATGGCACAAGTGATGACCGATCGCGCGATCCTCGGGTTCGAGCAAATTGGTCAGATAGTTTTTTTGGCAGCTGCGCGTGTTCTCGCAACTATTCGGACGGCCATACTCAACATGGAGGCCACAATCAACCATCTGGACAATCACCATGTCCAAAGCAATAGCTCAACACATATGGGTAGAGACAATTATGAGCTTTCGAGAGGCTACGTCCTGGCATCAACAATCATTGCAATCCTATTTGCACTCTTTTCCTACTTCAAGAAATCTTCCAAATCTGCCACTTTACCATGGGTAAATCAACCTGGCCCTTTGGATATTTTTCGAATGAAAGCCAAATACAGGTTTCTCACGGGTGCCAGAGACATGGTTCTTCAGGGGTTCGCGGACTTTCCTGACAGCGCCGGCTTCCGGATGGTAGCTGACGGTGGTGAAATTGTGATGCTCGCGCCAAAATATGCGGCTGAGCTGAAGAATGACCATAGAGTCGACTTCGTGAAGCTGTTTCTGCAGGTAAAGGATGCTATTCCTGAGATCCGAATGCGCTGTGCTAGGTCTGATCACAGAGAATAGGACTTCCACGAGGGGATACCAGGCTTTGACTTTACCCAGCAAGGTGCTCGGGACGCGAAGATACTACGAGAAGTAACTAAAAGCCAATTAACACATCACTTGAGTAGGACACATTGAGACGCGTTGTGTGGACATGTAATAACAGTTGAATTAGGCAAGATCACCGACTCACTATCATTCGAATGCACGACCTCTATGCAAAGAATATTCACAGACAATGAAGGTAATTTATCTCGAGTCTCCAGATTGTAAATCACGACTAACGGCACTCTAAGAATACCACGATGTCGAACTTAGATCTTCGCTTCTGGATCTTATTTCACGAATATCGTCAAAGGCTTTTCTCGGCGGCGATCCATTGTATCAAAATGAGGATTGGCTCAAAATCACCACTACGTACGCTGGAACGGTCAATCGTGCAGCGGTGATGCTCCGACTATGGCCACGCGCACTTCGTCCTTTGGTGCACTGGGTGCTCCCGTCTTGTCGCGAAGCGCGCACTCAGGTCCGCCTGGCTCGTCGATTATTCGAGCCCATGGTTGAGCGAAGACGCCGAGCCAAGGCAGAAGACCCGAACGTCGTGTTTGATGACACTGTCGAGTGGGCCGCAAAGGCTGCGAAAGGCATGCCCTATGATGCATCTGCCGTTCAACTTTTGTTTTCCATGGCCGCTATGCACACCACCACAGACCTTCTTACTCAAGTTATTCTCGATCTTGCAGCTCATCCTGAGATGCTTGATCCTCTGCGTAAAGAGATTGAGACAGTGCTCAGCGAAGAAGGCGGATGGACCAAGGCAGCACTACACAGGATGAAGCTCCTCGATAGTGTGCTGAAGGAGTGCCAGAGAATGAAACCAGCGGCCATTAGCGGCCTGCGGGGAATCCTGAACACGGACGTTACGCTATCTGATGGACTCCGTCTTGTCGAGGGAACGTCCATCGCTGTATCGTCCCATCTGCACTGGGACGAGAAGATCTACAAAGACCCGCTCAAATGGGATGGCTGGCGTTTCTACAATCTACGCCAGGTGCCCGGAATGGAGCACCGGTCTCAGCTAGTCTCATCGACCTCCCCCGACCACATGGGGTTCGGCATTGGAACGCACGCATGCCCTGGCCGTTTCTTCGGGGCGCATGAGGTGAAGGTAGCTCTGTGCCATTTTGTTTTGAACTACGACTGGAAGCTCAGTGAAGGCACCGTGCCGCAGACGCGAACTTTCATGTGGTCGCTTGTAGCTGACCCAAAGGCAAAGATCTCCATTCGGAGAAGACGCCATTAGCAACTAGTTTCAACTCAGATATATGGCTGTGCAAGTGAAATTCCCACAGATACGCGTCATGCTTCTAGGCCAGGCATCAAGAAATCAAGTACATGGGTTCAAGATACTGCTTCAAGGCCTAGAATTGCATTTGATCATCGCCGGGACTTCCGTTCGCGTAATAATTGACTGGTGTTGGGGAAACTTAAGCTTTTCTTCTAGGGATGTCTTTATCGTGCACCGTTGGAACAGAAAATGTCGCCGAGACATCATCTGGGTGGCCGTTGCCTAGTATGCGGCCGGAGGGCTGAGGCGGACTTCCAGAGTTGGCATCGCCGCTGCTGGCAGTGTAAACTTAACGTAAGCTCGAAAGCTTTACATTTTACACCTACGTCATTTTCGGTACCATTGCGGTTTTGTGTCGTTCAACTCAAGCTGCTTGTGCCTTGACTCCCAATTGGCAGATGTCCTAACCACAAGCGGCCGATTCTTACCGTCTCAATTCTAAGCGGTCGTCTTTTTGGGAGGCTAGAAGCCTCTGGGCTGAGGTGACAAGTCCTCTAAACCACAAGTATCTTAGTTTAATTTACCAACTAGCGTTTCCTGTCCTTGACTGCAGAAACCTGCCAAGACATGACATCTGAGTAGAAGTGCGAAGTTGAGAGATGCTTCTCCGCAATCAATTCTCGCTGACTGATCCGTCAACACAAGGCCATCTCCAAGACAGCACATGCAAAAGTGAGTTCCCATTGACGGTTTGAGAGACGTGCTATCTGACGAAGAGTTTTGATACCATAGTCGATGACTCGACGGGCTAGACCGTGGGCAGAGCGCCAAACAAATTCGCTCGCAACGATGGCTTCGGCTCAACCATTGAATGACTTCTCACAAGCCCATGACAGTTGAATATATATTCATTGCTAAACATTCCACTCTCGACGCCTAAGCACCCAACCACATCCGCTACCACAGCTACAATATTCGATCTGATCATTCATCATACCCTATACAGTACTTGATCATTCACTGCAAAGAACTCCAAGCTAAACTCACTGATCTACAAGACCCGGCAAAGCTTGTGTTGAACACCGCCGGTGTCATTGCCAAGGCATTGTCTTTCAATACGTGCTCTGATTCGTTATTCAAGGCCGTCAAAACACTTTCCGGGGGCCAGGCACATGGCGAGCTCGTCAAGCTGGGTGGCCAAATCCAGAAGAATGTGGAGCAAATCTCCAACGGAGTTGATTCGCTCAACAATCACCAAAACCAAAAAAGCCACAGCTTTCCTCAGCACGTTCACGACTTCATCGCCTCCTGCTATGACGAAAACTCCGAAGCTGCTGAAGACGAGTACTTCTTCGTATATCATCCTGGCACCGACTGGTACCCGGCCTTCAACCGCCTGTTGAAAGAATATCCACTTCCCAAGTTCTGTGGCACATTTCACAGTATTGGGGCAATGTCAGTCTTCCTGGAAAAGTTCCGGCTGGTTGTTGGACCAGACCCTACGATCAACATTTTGGTCCCAGCTGTCCATTTGTTCGTTGTACCGGATGAGTTCGAAATACCATCGGACCTGTTTCCTCTTCGCATTAGAGGAGAGCTTCACCAAAGTGGTAACCCCTACGTCCACGTCAACATAAAAAACATTTCACCACTTCAGCGGGACTGCTTATACAATGTTGCGAACATCAATAAGATTAGCGCGACCGACGGTGACGCCAAAACCGCAAACCGACAACATAACGTTCATGGCAACTGGCGACGAAAGGTCTACTCGATATCGCGAGCAGCCGCAGTAGGCGCGCCTGCGGCTGCTAAGCATATGGCTACTTGCAGAGCGCTGAGTGGACTTCTCGCCGCGCCCGCGGCTGTTGTCTGTCCTCCTTTGATGGCCACAGTCGCTGTAGGATGCGCTGTGGCTGCTCTTAGTTGCGATGCTGTTGCAGGGATCAAACCTGGTAAGGCGGCGAAAGAAGACGCCGAAATTCAATGGGACAGACGATTCGGCGCGGAGAAGGGCAGTTTATCTGGTCACAACCTGCTGGCAAAGATGAAAGAAAAGAAGGGCAGTTTGTCTGGCCACAATCTCCTGGCAAAGATGAAGGAAATTGAAATCTGAATGCAACATGTCTCAGAGGCTTCAGTGGCAATGGCTGGGTGGTTGAACAGCGAACGGTATTCTTACCCATTACTTCAAATCCTTTGGTCCCTGTATTCACGACATTCAGATGACTCGCTTTCTCGGCAGCAATCCCACTAGGTAGTAGTATAGATAGTGACAATGACTGTGTACACGCAGTAATATAATGCTCAATTCTTAATCGAAACACAGAATTGAAGACGCCAAGTGAATGGAATGTTTGCGGTCACAAATTGCGTGTCCCCTATATCTGATCCGCGGCTAATAGTCCACCGGGAACCGAGCTCTGAGACGTTCGCCATACTTGTAAAACAGGAATGGCACAGGAACAAACGCAATCCCGATGAAAGCAAGCAGACTGTTTCCCCATCCGAGTTCCAACCCTTTGTACAGAGGCGGCCCAGCAAGAGGGAGAAATGCTCCGAACAGACTTCTCATGAACGTATTCGCGGCCAAGGCCGATGCAGACGCCTCGGCACCAAATGCATCCACGAGATAAATCTGAGACGGCATAAGAATGATGAAGGATCCAAAGCCGATGACAAATGTGCCGAGAACTGGGACAATCCAGTGAGTATCACCTGCAGCACTCCAACCGTACCAGAAGAACCCGATTGAAACGACAGGAGCCATCCAGACCGACAGCAGGAGGCGAATTTCGGGCCGCGCTGGCACTCCGGTAGCTTTGGCCGCCTTGACTTGCTTGTCGCTCACTGCGCCAACCAGCCCGACTCCAAATATCATCCCAATCGCCAGGCCCAGGTATGCTAGTCCAGCCTGAGAAGGGCCCCAGCCGTACTTCACCTGGAACACAGCGGGGAAGGTTGTATAGAGAAGGTACGTGAGGCCGAACATAAAGGCGCAGTAAAGAGAAATGAGAGAAATGATGGGCGAAAACATAAGCATCTTGGTCGGGCGCGCGATAGCTCTCCACAGCAACTGTCCTTGTGTGATGTTCTTCGCAGTTCGGGCTCGTAGGCGATCGTTGCCGGTGGCCTTGCGTAGGTATGCGGCCTTTCGTTCGAGTAAGATGGGTTCGAAGGTTTCGCGCATAATGACGACACCTATCAGAGATACGACGCCAGCCTGCCAGCTTTTGTCAGATGTATGCACACACCGGAGAAGTATCTGAGACCTACTAAGATGAAGATCACCCAAAATGTCCATCGCCATCCGCTGTACTGGGTGAGTGCGCCTCCCACGACAGGGCCAACAACTGGACCAAGTAAAGGGCCAAGACTGAATAGCGCCATTGCCTTGCCGCGCTCATCTGCCTTGTACATGTCGGCAATGGTGCCTCCTCCAACAGCCATCGGCGCTGCACCGGCACAGCCAGCCAGAAACCTGAAGGCAAGGAACATGGAAGCGTTTGTGCTAAGGGCGCATCCAATTGTGAAGGCTTCATATGTTATGTTGCAGATGTGGTAGACGGCAAGTCTTCCATAGATCTCTGATAAAGGGGCAATAAGAAACGGGCCTACGCAGTACCCCAAGACGTAGATGGAGACAGTCAATGATGCAACCATAGAGCTGGTGATTTCGAACTCTTTGACAAGATACTGAGCTCCAGGCGCGAACATGACAGCTGCTAAGTTTCTGGACATATTGGGATTAGATTTCTGACACGTTACCCTGTTAATCATGATATGAGAGATTGACATACGAGTAAAGCGTAAACGAGCTGACGAGGAGGACGTGGGCGAGCTTCGTTCGTGGTCCCCAGTTTTGGGGATTCAAAACATCTTTTGGGCCTTCCCAATCGACGACCGATGGGTCGCTGTTTGCTTTCTCGAAGGCAAGACTGTTGACAGACTCCACGGGAGACTGCAAGTTCTCGTAGGGCGACCTGCGCTGGGCATCGCGATCTTGCTGCGTAAGCGACGCCATGTCGATGACTTTACTCATTCTTCTCGATAACTCTCAAAGTCGGTAGAATATGAAATTGTTTGTATAGCACAAGTGTTGTGAATGCAACGTGCCAGGCAAAATCGATGGCAGCATCACTATATTCTAGGCGCAGATCTTAGACAAAAGTCCAAGGATAGCATCGCCATCACCGACAAGTGATCAGCCTAATGCCCAGCTTCCCCTGCTCGCGTCAAACCATGGGTGTGGCCATGCCAAGGCAGAATATCAATTGCCGTAAATAGCATCGGGGACCATCACGCCTCGATGCACATATCCAGAATATCATTATCGAGGTATTTCAGCCTGCAAATCTTGTGCACGTCCTCGTCCTGATTTTCTATCCACCCTCAAAAGTCGCCGGTGCGGGCAGAAAGAGCTTCTTGATTCATGAAACCCTGAGCGAATGGGTTGCCTGCTGAGCGGGTAACACTTCAGACAAACCCACGCGTCTCCGACGGCCTCAACCCGCCCCTCCTCGTTCTCGCGATCCTTGGCATGTGAACCGGGGTACCTGATCGACAAGTCCCGGCTCCGGTCCCCACCATTGATGGCCGCACGGCGGTTCCCAGAATGTCGGGGCTGCCGCCAAGACTGGACGCTCGGCACCAGTTATTTTGCCCAGAACCGGCGTCGCGTAATCTTGACCAGGCCTTTGAGGCGATGCAGAGAGGTTCATCTCCACATCGTTCACATATAGTTACAGTGACGCTACTTGCACCGCTCCATGGGTGGTTTTCGTGATCAATTTCAAAATACCAATTGCCAAGCGGGACCTTAGCCTCCAACTTATCAACGTGTCTCCAGCCAAAGAGATGTTCATTTCTACTCTGCACGAGCGCGGTGCTCTGCTTCTGTTCATCGCCGTCATCTTTTCTGCTTCATACATCTACCCTCGGCTGCGTGTTAAACAAAGACTCAAGCAGATTCCTTTGATGGGAGAAGAGCTTGGGGGCTACTATAAGCGCCGCAACGAGTTCTTGAGGGATCCCATGAGATTCTACTGGGAAGGTTATCAGAGGTGCAAGAACAAGTGTTTCCGTGTGACACACTATGAAGGTAGGCTATGTCTGTTTGCATGTTCAACGTTGAGTAGCTGACCCCACCACAGGTGAACGGATTGTTCTCCCAGGAGCGGCGCTGGACGAGCTCTGGAATATGTCGGAAGCTGTCCTCAATAAAAATAAAGCATATGATCAGGTAAGATCACGAGTCAAAGTGCACTGTGAGACCTCAATCAGACGCGATACTAATATGCCACTTTTATACAGAGGGTACTCAGACAGTACACGGGTTTGCCATCCGGCAACCCCTTTCTGGTGCACTGCATCCGCTCAGACTTAACCAGAAATCTCAGTATGTCCGATGCCTCAATGGCCAACCGACCAGAATGACTAACTTACCGCAGAACGCATCAACCATCATCTGGTCTCCGAGGTTGAGAAGACAGTCGATGAGGTCATTGGCCCATGCGAAGAATGGACCTCTCACCCGATCTATCGGACTTCACTCCGGATCGTTGCCATCGTCTCCGGTTCTGTCTACGTCGGGCCAGACGTATGCCGGAACGAACAGTTCATCCATGATAGCAGTAGGTTTCCCCTCTGATCTCCTCGTGTACCAATGCTTACAAAAAGTACAGTTCACTTCACAGAAAATGTTTTGGCTGCTGTACACATGCTTCAGATGTATCCAGGTTGGATGCGCCCAATCGCGCGCTTCTTCAAGTGCGAGCGAACCCAACTAGCCAAGTCATGGAACCATCTGAAAGCCTCAAAGAGGCTTGTGGTGCCAATCATTCAACAGCGACGTGAAGAGGTTCAGGCTGGCCGTGCTTCGTACGACGATATGCTGGCCTGGATGATGGCGAAGCAAGACGAGTGGAAGCAGACCGACGACGATGTAGCCGGCTCGATGGTTCAACTCGGTGTTGCCTCGACCCACAATACGTCTTCAACGATTGCTCAAACCTTGTTCCAGTTGGCGATTCGCCCAGAGCTAGTCGGGGAGCTTCGCGAAGAAGCACAGAGCGTTTGCGACCAGTTTGACGGACAGCTAAGCCCCGTTGCTCTGCACGAGCTGAAGCTCCTCGACAGCGTCATGAAAGAAGCCCAGCGACTTAACCCCACGACACCCTCCCATTTTCACCGTGTCGTTGAGAGGGATATCACCCTTAAAGATGGCACTCTCATCCCCCAGGGCATCACGGTGGAAGCAATCTTTGCGCCGCCCTTGTTCGACCCGGTTCTCTTCCCCAACCCACAGGAGTTTGATCCGTATCGCTTCCTCAAGCTTCGCAGAGGAGAGACTCCGGACCCCAACCACTACAAGAACAAGGAGCAGTACACATTCAGCCATGCGACTAAAGAGAACCTGGCATGGGGCTATGGAGCTCATGTTTGCCCTGGCCGCTACTTTGCCAATAATGAAATCAAGTTGATTTTGGCGCGTATGCTTTTGCGTTACGACATCCGGATGCCTGGTGGAGTTAAGGAGGTTATGAAGCCTCAAAGGGGCGGTATGGGATGGACTCCTGACTTGCGGAAGCCGATTGAGTTTAGAGCAATCAGGAGATAGTTGCAACATGTGATTGAGATATTTCTAGTTCTTACAGAATGGGATGTTTGAGTATTTTTAAAGTCTTCCCATATCTACCGTGGTTGGATTGAGACTGGTCCAGTAACACTTCGTGGGCTTTCACGCCCGGGATTCATCACATAAACCTACACTTCAATCCCAATGGAAATTGTACGCAGAAGTAGTGCATTCTTTGAGATCCAACTTTCTGACGTGATTGATTTGGAGATATCTATTGTAACTGAAGTGGCTGCATCGTGGACGACAGGGTAACGAGTGGCAAGTTCTGTAATTGACACAGGTGCACCTCCGCAAAAACTTACTTTTCTTCCGGGTAGTAAAGTCGGCAACGTGATATGGATTCTTCATTTAGCGATCTCGATCAAAAACATAGCCCGTCCTCAAGGTTCGAGACCCGCGGAACTGGCAATGCGATCTTCTTCGCCCCTGATGCTTGTCAGTAACCGCACGCTCCAATTCTAATTATGCACGTAACACATCTGGGGGATGCCTTTACATGCCAAGCCGTACTACAAGATACTTGAGTCAGGACCCCATGGAACCTGTCAAGCTCGATCGACGGTCAGTCCTATGGGTGCCGACGTCCGCCGGAGCTCCCAGTTTAGTAGGGCGGGGTGCCGTACATGGCCGCAAACCAAGGAGCTCGGCTCCATGGCGTCCGGTAGTCGGCACCCACATCGTAGGATCATGAGTTTCTTCCAGCCTGCGGCCGTAGAACGGAGACTTGGCAGCCCCGACCAAGAGTTCAAGGCATGATCAGACATTGGTTGCCCGTTTCCGTCGGGAACAAACATGTTACCTGCTCATGCCGTTTGACAACAGCTCGTTGTGAAGGTTCTTGAAATCAAAGCTTCTAATTTTGAAAATCTTCAGACATTCTCTGTTCATTAATAAGCCCGGTCTGCTTCCACTTTGTTTATCGCTTTGCTACACGCATTCAAAGATCCTGTCGTTGCAACTCAGACATCACAGAGTACCATCAACTACAATGACTCAAATCGTCGAGCTCGGGTGGATCCCTGTGAAACAAGACTACGAGGATTCTCCCGTGACTACGTCTATCAAGGAACTGCATTCCAAGGTCATCGGCAGCTCCGACCTGGTAGGCCAATGGGAAGGCGTCCAGGGTCCCGGCGGACTGGATGGCAGCCCGGTCAAGAGCGTCCATTTGGCTGCAGGTAGGATACGATGCCCAATTTTGCGAAGATTCTTATTGGCTAACTCGGATCAGTCTGGACCTCCGTCGAAGCTGCGGATGCTGCGAAGCAATCTCCAGATGGTCTTGAGATGAGGAAGCTGTGGGGCCAAGTCATTGAGATGTCCAGCCCTTCAGGTCCTGTACTACCCTGGACAGGATACTTCAACTTGGGTGGTGGGGACTTTGCGAAAGTCGCTGCGTCTAATGTTGTTCTTTTGACTGGGTCGTATCTGCCCGTTGATGCTAACACTGCGGCGTTCGAGGAGAAGTGGCAGTCAATGATGCGTGCTCAGGCAAGCTCGGGTGGTTTCACAGCTGGTTTCTTAGCCGGCGTGCATGGATGGTCTATCGGAGAAGTCGTATACAAGGGCGAGAAGAAGAAGGCGTTCATGGTTGTGACTGGATGGGATAGCGAGGAGAGCGTGAAGGCGGCGATCGGTGGGGACAAGAGAGCGAAGTTCGAAGAAGCGCTGAAGGAGTTCAACATTCAACAACAGGAACATGTCTGTACAGGGCTGAAGAAGATCAAATAGTCAAATAGTCTGAAAGTCTTCATGATGGAGTAAACGTAATATCATTCTTGACAAAGTGAAAGAAAGCGATTCGGTCTCTGAGTACATCGGTCATATCATGTGACTGACCACGTGATCATCATCATTCCGCGATCGCAATTTTACGCTCAATCCGGCGGCGTTCAGGAGCTCACAGCGGTCCGGTCCACGCATTCGTCAGGAACAAGTCGCGCAAAAGAGACGCGCCGAGATCACACACCGCAGCGCGCTCCCGAGATGAACAACTTCAGGCGGTCTCGGGTAGACGCAGGTTGGTTCTCGGTCGGTCTCGCCTCCTCATTTCCCGATCTCGGCTCCGACGACGGCAACCTATCAGATCTTCGCTTCTGCAACACCGACCTGAAGCCGGGATGCAAGGTGTTCCACGCGCCGAAAGCGACCGGCTCAGTGCAGCAGAGTACGGAAGTGGACATCTCGCCTGATGCGTTTGAGAGTGCCGAGATGGAGGGCGACTTGAAGGACCAGGTGATGGTGTTCCGGTTCAAGGGGAAGTTTCACGCGATTGATCATGTGAGTTGGCGGATGTAATGCTACGACTCGACCGTGCTAACATGAGTGGATAGAAATGCCCTCATTCGTCGTACCCTCTATCTAAAGGTGTTCCGTTTGATATTGAGGATTTTGGAATCGTGCTCAGCACTGGAGTAACCTGTCCGAAGCACAGCTGGTCCTTTGATCTGACTACGGGAATGTCAGACCGGGCGAGGTACAAGCTAGGAGTCTGGGAGGTGCAACTCCGCGATGCCGCAGGCTCTGTACCCATGGTCAAAGTAGATGATGGAAGCTCAGAGACCCCGGAAAAAGAGGTGTGGGTGAGGAGGAAGCAGCGAATCGGTTAGACTAATCCATGATACCACATTTCTTTTCAACCCAAGGCGCCAAATTCGAGCGTCACATTGCATCATCACATTCACGAATGATACCAGCGGAATTATTGCAACAAAAAGATGTACTTCGCGTACTGAAACTGTCTATAGGGGTATGTTACATGTACATGTGCGTTCTCAATATTTAACATGAAAAATACAAGCAGATAAGAACATCGACTGGCGCTTAGTACCAGGTGGCCTTGTTCCAGAAGAGGGCCTTGTCGTTGGCAAGGTCATCCTCGTCGAGGTAGAAGGTGGTGTTGAAGACGATCTGGGTGCCGGCAGTGGTGTCGTTGCCGTACTGGGGCCACTCCAGCTTGTCCTCGGCCCACATGGTGTTGGGGTTGCCGGTAAGCACGAAGGACATGAGGTACTTCTGCATCATGACAGCGATGGTGGCGTTGACAGAGGTGCTGCCGCCCATGGCACCACCGCTGGGAGGGCCGCCCGCGCTGGAGGAGGCGGTGGCAGAGGCAGCGGCAGACGAGGCGGTCGCGTTGGAGGCGGCGGTGGTCGTGGTCGTGGTGCTGTCGGAGGAGGAGTCAGACAGGGTGTAGGTGCTGTACCAGTAGTAGCTCTGGTCAGTGCCGTGGGTAGCCTGGTCAAGCGCGACGAGGCCGTTCCAGGTCTGGTTGTTCATGGCGTGGGTGAGGGCGAGGTTGTGGGCCGTCAGGTCGAAGTGCTGCTTCATGTCGGCGAAGCGCAGGCCGGGCTCGGTGTAGTCGTCCTCGGGGTACAGCGCGAGGATCTCGTTGACGACGGAGTCCGCGATGGCGGGGAAGAAGATGCGCAGGTAGGTCGCGACGTCCTCGGTGGTGTTGACGCCCGAGTAGGACTGGGAGTTGGCCTCGTGCAGCTCGTGGGTGGCGACGACGGGGCCGGAGAAGTTGAAGCGGCCCTGGTAGAGCTGGGCCTCGTACGTGTCGGCGATGATGTCGCCGTCGACGCGGGGCTGGAACTGGTAGGTGTAGGCGTCCTGGACGGTGGTGGCGGCGGTGTTGAGCGTGTCGAAGTCGACGCTGCGCATACACTCGATGCTGCCGCCCGCGCAGCCGGCCTCGGAGGAGACGTTCAGCCAGAAGGCGTCGGCGTGCTGGTGGCCGGCGCCGGGGACGAAGCCGGGGGACATGACGTAGGCGCGGCTGTAGAGCTGCTCGGCGTGGCCGGCGAAGCGGGTCATCTGGAAGAGGACCTGGGAGGCGCCGGCGGAGAAACCAACTGCAGTGATCTCATCGGGGTTACCGCCGAACTGGGAGATATACTTCTTGGTCCACTTGAAGGCGTGCTCGACATCCCAGATGGCGGTGTTGGAGGTACCGCCCTCGTGCAAGAAGGTGGGACCGTTGGCCAAGCCAGTCATGCCGAGACGGTAGTTGTAGGCAACATAGACGAAGTCCTGGGACAGATCGAAGAGACCTTCGGGGGTGTTCTCATACTTGCTGCCACCGGTGAAGCCTCCACCATACGTCCAGACCATCACGGGCAGGTTCTTGCCTTCGGAATTGGCAGGGGCCCAGACATCCATGTACAAGCAGTCCTCCTCGGAGCTGCAAGCAACATCGGCGGAAGCCAAGTCACCGGTGTTGACCTCCGTCTCGACGGGAGGGTCCTGGGGCTTGGCCCAGCGGAGGTCGCCGGTCGGGACGGCGGCGAAGCGGATGTTCTGGTACTTGTAGTATCCGACGGACTCGTTACCGGCGGTGGCGACCACCGTGCAGTAGTCGAGAGTGACGGAGGGCATAGTGCCGGAGCCGGCGGTCGCGGTCGGGGCCGGGGTGGTGGTCTGGGCGACGGCCGCCGAAGCTGCCATCAGCAGCGATGAGTATTGGAATTTCATATTGGGTATTCTGAGCGAAGGTTGGTAGCGATCGGATGTTGTCGTGAGTTGCGATGCTTCCAAACAAAACCCACGATATCGAGGCCATGAAGAGCCTGATATATATAATGATCATTCATCTCGTTGAAAAGTCTTGTCAACACCATCCATGGTTCTCCGCGTTCACCGGTGAGCACGACGCGTACTCCGAGCCGCGTAAGGTAGCGCACCTCTGAGCCTCATTTACAATCGTCATGCTTCCCTGCGTTCATCATTAAGGACCATCTCGAAAAACAAGCGCGGCGGAGGAGGCTTGGGTCGCGATGTTGTAATTGGAAAACAACCGTCTCTCATCATTGGCTCGCATCACCCCCACAAGGCTTTTTAGAGTGGGATGAACTCTCGATATGGCTCAGGTTCATGAATCGGAGTTGATTTTAGCGCGGGAACTTGCCGCCCCCTACCGAGTTTTTGGGCCTCGGAAAGATGTCCCACAATTTAGAAAGGGGTCTTGGCCCCCGGAAGGCTATTCCAGAAGCCGTTGTCTTTGGCAACTTTGTGTTTGTTGTCGATCTCTTGCTCTCTCAGCCCAGCGGAGAGTGGGAGGTGGGGTTGAAGCGAGAGAAAGGGGGCGGAATCGGTTGCTTTAGTGCTGTCGGACCGCACCCACTTTCCGCTCCGCCTTCAGTGCCGGCACCGACGAGCCACATCTAAGGCTCTTCGTGGATTCCAAAGCCGAGAATGGAGATGTAAAATATATTGCAGTCATGTCCGAAGCACCGAGATCGCTGCGGTTGAGTTTGGCGTTTTGCCGCACACCGCGAAAGACAGAAGCTTGTCTTTGAGTGAGTAGGACCAACAACGGGCACGCCGACTTGGCAGTGGGCCCAATGTGTGGGAAGATGTTCTATGAGAAGTTTTGAGAAATAAATCATCGACTGTGTAGTTCAGAAATCATGCTAAGAAAGTCCGGAAAGAACTCATGATCAAAAAGCTCGAGGCCGATAGCTAGAATTGACTTATACGAGATCGATGATCTGGTTCCACGACATCTGGATGCAATTGTAACTGCACGTAAGCTCGTACGAAGTCGTAATTCATACCGGGGTTCTCAATCCACGACGTGCAGCGGTCTTAAGCGGTGCGAGTGTGCATACCAAGAATACAGCTCGCCAAAATATACAACAGAAATCCACGTTCATGGGTCATATTGTTTATACGAAGAGATCAATATCTTGTCTAAACTTCTTCCTCGAGCAGGAGACAACCCCCTTTCGACCTGCGTATCAAATTTCACAAGAAACTATCCTGTCGTAAGCACTAAGAACCACTTGATCTCTTGAATCACAACCATCCGGTGTTGTGCCTTCACTTCCATTTCTGTTCCTCACAAAGTTCTAAGTAGACCCGTCTCCGAGAACACGGATAAGCAAGGCCGCTTGTGAGCCTAGAATCTCATTCATTCTCCAAATATGCACAAATCGGCCTCATAGCTCTTGATTTACTGACCTAGAGTCACTCCCGAAGCACGGCCCGATTCCCAATTTGAACACCATCACCAGGCTATCCATCAAGGATCACCAATACCAAGAACGAAGGCTTGCCTTGCCGTAGCTCCGCTTCTGCGGTCTGTCCACGTAACAAAGGGACAGTCCAGCCTCTTCCGTTGTCTCCGCGTTATTTAGCTCACCAACACCCCATGCAGGTGTCACCCCCGCGTTGCTCTCCAAATTTAGATTCGCCTTGGGCCTCCTTAGTTTCCGCACTTCATCGGCTTTGCCCCACACCCTCTACCACTACCGCTAGAGCTGTTACCATGCGACAAGTCCGGGCCAGATCCTTTACTTGATCACGTAAACATTGGCTAGGGTTCAAGCAGTTGGCCATCCAGCCTCTTGATCTCCTCCAAGCGACACAACGGGGAGAAAAGGTTTCTCTCAAGTCTCCCTTGCTAACATCGAGTTTTGAATCACCACAATGTCCATGAATGATTCTCAACTGGAATCGCGCATTTGAGTTGACCGCTATTTCTATCGCTGTACATACACATCCAACACGCCCTATTGCCGCTGTTTTCTCTCCTCGTTCAAAAGTCGCCTCATTTGCATAACGGTTCTGACCTTTTGTGAACACGTCCAGAGCCCGTCGCCTTTCTCCTCGAGGCCGTAAGGTGACGGTAAATCTGGATTGATAAAACCATCGGCCTTCATGCCATCCCAGTACTCTCTGAACCCTTGCTCTGACATCTTATCCTCGTATTCACGGAGGAATGCATCCTCATGATATGCCCTCACTGCTTTGATATGACCAGGTAGGATTTGCCCACCGTTGACTTGTGCAAGAGTGAAGGCGCCCATGTGCTCCAGTCTCTTGACACCAAGCTCTTCTGAGGATTCATCTTCAACCACACGAACAATGGCTCCAAAGATGCGCTCAGAAGCAGCATAGTCCGGGTCTTCGTCTTCCCCGGAAAGGTCCAAGGGACCACCAGAGGGCATGGCGGGTTGCAGATGCCATCGAAGCCCAAGTGAATACATTGCCGCACAAGGGGATAAGCTGTAGCTCACTATGAACCTTTGACGCGTCAGTGTTGTCTGCTCCACCATGTGTTCAACTCCCAAAGCTACCAGCGTTTCATCGCGCAGGTTGTTTATCTTGATGGAGTGCATCTGGTCTCCAGAACAGCCTCCGTGGACAGCTACCCAATGGACTCCATCAACTGGATTTCTATGGTGCACGAGGTAGCACTTGATGGCGAAATCGATCTCCCGAACTCCGATATCTCGGTAACTCCTGAATGGGCCTCTTGCGTCAGCTTTGCCCACAGGATCTTCGTTCTAGGCAATCTCTTTGTCGGCGTTTTCGACGTCAACTGTGCGCTTGGTTTTGGGTACGCGCTTCTTCTTCTTGCCCTTGGTCTTGGCCTTGCCCTTTCTTTTTTTGGCTGAGCCTCCTTTGGATTTCGGCTTGCCACTCTTGGCCTCGTTCCGC